GTTACACGTCCAGATGGGCACAAGCTTCGCCGTACCTCATATTTAAATGGAAGACGCTCCCGAAAGGAGTCGTTTTTTCGAGTGGTGTGATCGTGCGGGCCAGCGAGAAAAATGGGTGCGCGTTGCAATCGATGTCTTACGGTTTTTTTTTTTTTTTTCGTCGTGGAAATCGGGTGCGCGTTACAATCGAGGGCGCGGTAGAATCGAGTAAATACTGTACTAAGCCAAGTTTGTGCAACACTTGGCCGAGATGGTAGAACCAATGAGGGCTCTTCTTAGGAAAGGCGAAACCTTTACCTGGTCTGTTGAGGTTGATAACAGTTTCCGCGCGGTAAAGGAAGAATTATCGTCAGATCTTGCCTTGCACATGTTTGATCCTGCGCTTCCAATTATCATTTCCACTGATGCATCCGAATGTGGTCTTGGAGCAGTCCTTCAGCAGCACGCCGGTAATAAGCTTCGTACTGTTGCTTTTGCATCACGCACACTATCTCCGGCTGAAAGAAAGTACGCAGTTGGCGAGAAGGAAGCACTTGCATGCATTTGGGCATGCGAGCATTGGCATGCATACCTGTGGGGACAGAGCTTCACTCTCCGAACAGACCACCAGGCCCTCTTTTCACTTCTGTCTTTGCAGGGCTCAGGCTGACGCCCACTTAGAATTGCACGTTGGTGCACAAGGCTACTACGTTACAATTTCACGGTGGAGTACCAGAAAGGCTCATCTAACAGAGTAGCCGATGCTCTTTCGCGGTTACCCGTTCATATGGCAGATGGAGAGCTGACTTTTGAGGAGGAAATTGTTTCCATGGTTCAACCAAGTTGCCTGACCAAAGAGCAGTTTGAACAAGCGGTTCTTGCTGACGTCACTCTTCAAAAGGTGAAGATGTTTGTAAATGGGTCTTGGCCGTCACACGGAGACTTGCCGGAAGGTCTGGAACCATATTTCAGAGTTCGAGACGAATTGGCAGTGGCGAGCGAATTGTTGTTGCGTGCAGAGAGGCTTGTAGTTCCATAATCTCTTGTGGCTCAACTTGTGGCAACAGCACATGAAACTCACCAGGGTATCGGACGCACCAAAGCCAGACTTAGAGAGCAATTTTGGTAACCCCGCATGGACAGTCACGTGGAAGAAGCAGTCCACAATTGTAGCATCTGTCAAGCAGCAGATAAATCGGCAAAGACGTACACCTGCCCCGCTACAACCTGTCGAGCTACCAGAGAGGCCATGGCAGAAACTTGCAATGGATATCGTTGGTCCCCTGGAGACGGCGCATCCAGATTGCAGATTTGTGCTGACACTCATAGATTACTTCTCAAAATGGCCAGAAGTACAGTTTTCAAGGGAAATTTCTACAAAAACCGTGACCAAGTTCCTGCTCAACGTATTTGCACGGGAAGGCTATCCTGAAGCGATAGTCTGTGATAATGGGCCCCAATTCACGTCAAAAGGAATTTGTCAACTTCCTACAAGAACGAGCGATCCGCCTGTCGCACTCATCTGTTTATTACCCGCAGGCAAACGGACAGATCGAGCGGTTCAACCCCACGTTCAAGACTTACCTACAACTGGCCCGCCTAGAACAACGTCCGCTGCGAACTGCTGTACGGGATTGCCTCGCCGCATACAGACACCACACGCCACACCACACCACACGCCACAACACACGCCACACCACACGTACACCACACGCCACAACAGGAGTGGCCCCTGCGGTACTTTTACATGGAAGGCTGCCAAGAATGAAGCCTGACATCTTCGTCTTATCGCCCGAGTCCTTCGCAAAGGCACCCTACCAGGAGCTGGCCAGGCTGCGGCAACATGTCAAGCGCAGGCAAGAGTACAGCAAAGCCTACACTGACAGGAGGCGAGCGGCAAAACCGACAACAGTGGCAGTAGAAGACATGATGCGGGTGAAGAAACCATCGGTTTCATTCAAAGGTGACATCTCTTTCTCGAAGCCAAGGAAAGACATTGAGCAATGCGGCCCAGCATCCTTCATTCTCGATGACGGCAAAACATGGAACGCGGCAAAGCTGTGCAAGATGCCTGCTCGGCGTCCTGGCGACAATGGCCTTTAGCAACATTCTGCAGGGCGTGAATACAGTCGCCGACCGATTTTTCGGACCTGGCGGGGACCGAAAAAAAGTACGAAAAATCGAACAGTCCGAAAAATTCGTTTTCGCCAAAAATCTGAAGTTTATTGCATCAGGCAGGTTTAAAAAAGTCCTTGATGCTGCCTTGCCTCAAACTACGCTTGGGGGCAATTTGGTTTGCCCGTATTTGCGCCAAGGTGACATCGTCGCCGTAAACGCTCGACAAAATTGTCACCGCGTTGGCGATCTCCGCCGCCGACGGCTGCGGGCGGTCGTCGTTGTCGTCATCCGAGCCGCTCTCCGGCTCCGGGACAACCTGGCGAAGAATTTCGTCGTCAGTGGCCTCCGCGCACGAAACAATGTCGTCGTCCGCACGAGTGAAGTCTTTAAATGTCATTGAGAATCCTTCTTTCGCCTCCTCCTCGTGCGATGTGATGACGATAGTGCTGACCGAAGACGAAAAAACGGCATCCATCACCGCGTCTTTTAAAAAGCAAACACGGCCTCCGAAACTTAAAATATGGCATGCGCATTCCAATCTCGGAGGCAGGAAAGGCATCTGAAGACCAAGCTTAGCCAAGCCGACGGAAAATCCAACATGGCGGCGTTCACAATGGCTTGAGGCGTGGCACAAAACGAGCGATTTAGTCCGAAAAATCGAACTTTCAGGGGCATATTCGCCCGAAAAATCGGTCGAAACAATGCATTAGCTCTATGGGATCCCTGACGGTGCATTTATGAAGTCCAGAATATCCAACAAGTCCGAATTTTTGGAGTCCGAAAAATCTGTCGGCGACTGTATTCGTTCCATCACAATCCCGTTGACGCGACGCTTCTCGCTGCAACATGGCGGCCAGCGTCCGTCGAGGCAAGTGTTCCCGCAGCGAAACCTGCGCCTAGTGCAGACTACGATTCCCGCTCGCCAACGAGACCAGCCGCCGGACAGTTTCCTGCTTCAGAAACTGTTTCACGCCCGCCCATGAACACTACAGAAGAACCTGTGGTGTCGTGCCCACCTGGTCGGCGCATTCAGCCGCACCGAGACAGCGACCGGACAGATATGGTTATAAAGTGTGATTGTGTAAATATTCCTTAGTTGGTGTACCTGTTACCTAATGTATTCAATATTTTTGGCATGTGTATAGATAATTTTGTGTGTATACATTGATGCGTATTTCTTGTTGTGTATTTCTCGTTCCACATATAAACTGTGCGCGATTAACCTATACTAACGTACTAACACCCTCCCAAAATAAAAAAAATAAATGAGGGAGGGAAAATGTTGTATCCTGTATATAGTACCTGTAGTTTCGGTTTCTGTGTTTGAGTTGGCAACACTGGGTCCTTGTGATTGTATATATTTGTGTACCTGTTACCTAATGTATTCAATATTTTTGGCATGTGTATAGATAATTTTGTGTGTATATATTGAATGTGTATTTCTTGTTGTGTATTTCTCGTTCCACATATAAACTGTGCGCGATTAAATACTAACGTACTAACACCTTCCCAAAATAAAAAAAAAAAAACAAATGAGGTAGGGAAAATGTTGTATCCTGTATATAGTACCTGTAGTTTTGGTTTCTGTGTTTGAGTTGGCAACACTGGGTCCTTGTGATTGTATATATTTGTAGAACGTCTAATAAAAAAAGAGAGTATGCAACCGCTACCCGTGAGTGCGAGGCATGTCACTCGTTCACTACAATGATGAAGTTTTAGGGGCCACTTGACTGATTGCGTAATGAACAGACTTGCCGTGACTCGTACGGACTTGTCTGTTATTCCTGGAGGACTGACGAGTGTGCTGAAGCCGATCGACATCAGGATTGACCATCCATTCAGATTTGGGTGCACGTTAAGGAACCCCAGGTGGTCTAAATTTCTGGAGCCCTCCACTACGGCGTCTCTCATAATCATAGTGTGGTTTTGGGACGTTAAACCCCATATATCAATCAATCAAGAGCGGAATTTTGCCGCTGATATTCAGAATGTATAGCTATGGGCCATCACGAGAAAACCCCAACAGGATGGCTGAAACAGGCATCGCTCCAACAAGTTTTTGACTAGATTTTGAGTGCATGATGTGCCGTGTCATTTGATGTAGTTGTGAAAAGCTTCAAGGTAACTGCGTGAGTGGCACTGAGGATGATCATCTCTAGGAGGACTCCGAGGCAGGCTCTTCCGAGAACGAAGACAATGATAGCGAAATGGTATCTTAATAAAAATATTCCTGGCTGGTCATTTCTGACTGTCTTTCACTCTGCTACTGTTGTGGAAACGGCACAGACCTTTGATGATCGGTGTGATGATCGGTGTGAGACCTTTGATGATCGGTGTGATTCGTGTAAGGGCCGCACCAAGCAATAATTTCGATCCGGTGACCTTTAAGACATGTCATATTACATCAGTCAATAGACTAGCGGTGGGAAGGCCTTCCACTACGCCCGTCTGACACGGGCATAAGCATAATGATTGAATGCAGTGCAAGAAACTGCGTAAAACAAAGTTTCAATGAATTCAGTGGTTAGTTAGCCTGTCCAGTCAACCTTTATCTGTGGATTGATTGATTGATATGTGGAGATTTATTGATATGTGGAGCACACGGGCCCACAGCATTTTTGCCTCCAACGAAAATGCAGCCGCCGCAGCCAGGATTCAATCTCTCGACCTGCGGGTCAGCAGCCGAGTACCTTAGCCACTAGACCATCGCGGCAGGGCAAAACCTAACCTTTATTTGTGTTCAGCCACCCGTGTGTGCAATTTCATTTCGGTTTCAATGTCGTACCAACTAGCCCCCCAACATACAGTACTTAAAAAAAAAAAAAGAGAATGGTAGGAAGGGGAAACAGGGGTTGCTGAAACAGGGGTTGCTCTCTCAAGTGAGCTATCTTTGACCCTCGTACCTGAAACACTGGCTGGCTGCTCTCTGGGACCTCCTCTTGCTGCTGCAACAGCTGCGGCTCTTCCTCCTCCTCAGGCTGGTAGTGATGGTGCAGCAACAGTGGGGTCTGGAAGGAAAGCAGGGTGGCTGCCGCTTCCCCCGTGGCTGGTGATAGCCCGCCCACGGAATCAAGAGAGTTGCGCATCAGCCGTCTCTTCTTAAGGGGCGTCACCAGGTCGGCTGCTGAAACAGCACATTTCACACTCCACGCAGTCAGTTTGAAAACATTTGCATCTTGTTGCACAACGACTCTTGTGTCTCGAAACTACCATATGATTATGAGAGATGCCACGGTGGTGGGCTTCGAAAATGTACTGGTGTTCTCTAATGTGCACTGACAGTGCACAAGCCTCTATCATTTTACCTTCAGCAAAATACGATCACCAATGTCAGGATTCAGCCTTCAAGTCAGCATGTTAAATGAGCAGGAAAATGAGTGAAGTAGATTTATCTGGAGACACAAAAAGTCAACAAAATAGCAAGAGCAAATATAGCCTAAAACACATTTACAATCAATTTTAAAGTAAGAAATGTAAGCAATTTTTCCCATACGCTAATGTTTCTCCGTTTCGTTCTTTTTCTTTGTAAAGCAGCAATCCGGCAACCGTTTGAGCACCCAAGCGCATTCACGGTCAGGCTGTCTTAAAACGTGCGCCTTTGTTGATCATTTTTGTTGCTTGGCTTCTGCTGACATGCTTCAGGAAACTGGGAACTTTTTTTTTTTTTTCATGCGCAAAGTGGTGCACCGAAAGTCGCTTGCACAATTCGACTGCGTTTGCAGGTTTAAAGAGCATGCCTTTGTCAATTAATTTTTTGCTTGGCATGTGCTGCCATGGTTCGAGAATATGTTGAATATTTTCATGTGCTGTTGACTTCGTTCTTGTCTATTTTTTGCTTCACAAAGCAGCACGCCAGCTATCGTTTGTGCATTTGAGCATGCCTAAGGGGCGACTGGTTCAAAACGCACAACTTTTTTCGATCACTTCTCTTGCCTGGAATGTGGTACCATGGCTTCAGGACAAAAGAAATTTTTTTCATGCGCAAATGTCTCTCTCTATTGCTTTTGTCCTTTTGCTTGCACACCTAAACGCACGCACATGGTGCAGCTGGTTTCAGTTTTATCCTTCAGTTGTTTATCGCTTCTCACGCCCGCAAAGCTGATGGCTGTCTGGTCAAAGGGTGACTGCTTGTGACTCTCTCGTTTAGAGCTCCTCGGGGTGCGATATTGTCTGTTTCGTGAGGCACTAAATTGCGCAAACGCCGCTGCTGTGGTTGCGTTTCTTATTTTGGGAACTCTGTAAAGCTACCTTTGTCTCGGTTGGAGATAAGACGAAGGAATATTATAGATTTGTCACTGGTCTTACGCAACAAAGAGGCACACAACACGAGGTGTTTGTACTAAGCGCTCACTCACACTACGCTACAGAACTGCGCGCCGGTTACTCTGGTGCTAGTGAGTCGAGTGGCCATTCTTCTGATGTGGACTATTGCCCATGTGCCGAATCCGATTCATTGGATGTCAATTCATCAGGCGAGGATTTATTAACGAGTTCAGACTCGGACAACCATGAACGAGCAATATCTCGAAAGCGTATGTGGTGAGAAGATCTGGACTGGATCAATGGTGACCATTCCCCAGTGTTTAGTGCTAGAGAAAAACATTTTTTTTTAAAATCAGGAAAGTACTCTGGGACGATTATTTCTGCTCGTTAGTGAGCTATGTTTACTATAATGCATAATTTAAAGGCACACAAAGGGTAAATAAGAATTTATGTCAGAGTAAAAGCTCGATGTTTGAAGCCTAAACTGACAATACTATTACCAGCAGTGGCTTACTTACCCAGAAATCAAGATATCGTATTTATTCGAATCTAGGCCAATAGTGTTTTTTTTTCGAATTTATTTGCATCAAACTCCAGGGCCGCCCTTAGATTAGAAGATATTGAAAAACATGCCATCTTTCATTCAGAAAAGCTGATGCACAACTAGCGCCACCTAGATGGTAGTATAGCCGTTAGTAGCCAAGCCAACACCTGGCTTAAACCTGGGAGAGTCTTTGCACCCCAACAGCTTGAGGTCACGTGACCCAAGATTAAACGTCACATATGACATCATTGGAAAAGCGAACGGCTTCAACTGGATACGCCTTGTGAAGCGATTTTGAAGTCAAGTAAAAAAAAATAAACAAAGGAAAAAAAAACGGGGTTGGAAAACTCCTTTATGGGAGAGACTGACAACAGGCGGGAAGGGCACGTTTTGTTGCCATCATTAAGCTTCCATGCTGGGTGCCCTGTCTGATTAAGAGAGCCTGGGAAAGAAAGCCCGTCTAATCAAAGTCACCCCTCTGTGGTGCCATGGATGCGTCGTGTAGGTATCAGAGTAATGAGTCTTCTCGAGGAGAGTGCCAAGTTTGTTGTGTATGGGAAGCCTACATGAACGGCCGGTCATGTAGGCGCCCTGTTGAATGGCGGCAAACATACTTAGGAACATGTTTGCCGGCATTTGCTGATACGCCTGTTACCGCTATATGCTTTACAGCAAAGGAATCTACTAAAGTCTGCAAGTGCACAGCCCGAAGTCTTCCCGACAGCTATTCGGTTGCCTCGCGGTGTTACACAGCAGACACTTCTAATTTCTGAAGTAACCAGTGAGCAGTCAACAGCTACAGGGGTCAAAAAACTTGTCTAGAATGCCATAATGGCACGCTACGGCACCCTGTGGCACAATGTATTCCGCTGTCTAGTTGTTGCCAGCCTGCACTTAAGCATATAGCCTTGGCGGCTTTGCATATGCGAGAATTCTGGCTCTTTCAAAATAGTGGCAATCAGAAAACGTCGTCAGTGCAGACCAAAGCATGCCTTTTCCGGTGCTTTAGACAAATGTGCTGACCAGTGACCGGTACTGTACTACGTTACGCACGGCACGCGACTCGTCAGTGTGACGAGCACGTGCTCTGGTTTCTTGCCTAGGTGATCCGATGGCTGCGGGACGGGATCCGAGGCGGTAGCATTTTCGATGGAGGCAAATATGTTTGAGACCGGTGTGCTGAGATTCAGGTGCACAGTATGAACCCCACCAGGTGGTTGAAATTACCGCAGCCCTCCACTAAGGCGTCCCTCATAGTCTGATCTGCTTTTAGGATTTTACACTCTGACAAATATTATCACTCTTCGGCCGAGTTGCGACAGTGTGAGTTGCAACACAGTGTGACAACGCAGAAGAAAACGGGGTACCGCGGTGCAATGGAGCAAACTTTAAATCAAGCTGCCAAGCTTACGAACTACGCAGCATAGATGACGACCACAAAAAAGTAAGATAACTTGAAGTAGTGCAAGCGAACCATAATGCAAACAAAACGCGTTTTTCTTTCCTTTTTTTCTTTTGTCACGTGACCTCAAACTTGCTTGACAAGACGTAGCCATTTCCAGTGCCATTTGAAGCCGATCGCTTTAACAATGACGTCATTATGATGTATGCCTTGGGTCACGTGACCCCGAGCTGTTGAGGTTCAAACAGACTCTCCCAGTACACATGTTAGGCCACCATTGCGGTGAGTGTTGAGGCGAGTCGTTTGTCAGTTCGAGTCACGCTTCCAGTGGTCTGTGTTTGGCGTAGCTTCATGGCGCCAAACAGGCAGTGTTATTATAGTGCCACTAGTAAAAGGGAAGTTTCCTAGCCCCGGAGTCGTTGTCCAACGTTCAAGCTGTGTGGGACTTTGGAGTGAGTGAGAAAAATGTGTACTGCTGGAGAGGCTGCAGTGTTGGATGACAACACGGGAAACTTGATTGTGCACTCATTTAAGAAGTGCGGCATATGCAATGCACTTGATGCCACCGAGGATTGCGCACATTAGAAGACAGCGATGAGTGAAACAGCAACGACGTCTCGGAATGAGTGCGGCCTCATCAAGTGCGGGATCTTTATGATACAAATAATTTGAAGCAGCGCTAAAAAAACTTTGACAAAGAAGTACGTTAGGACTAGCGGCTGTATGTTTCTCGAGTTACTTTCATCGTGAACCAACAGCTTTGTTTCATCTTCATGTTGAATAATGATTTTCTCTTTGTGAATGCTGTTTCGTACGGCCTATATAAGAGTTTTTTTCTTCCCGTTCCAGACCAGGCGGCGGGCAGAGGCGAGTTCACGTCCTTCAAAAGCGGACCTTTTGTCGTCGCTTCAAGCAGAAGCGGTGACTAATGGACTCGGCGACTCATCGGGCGACGGCAAAGCTGTCGTGGCCGGCGCCGGAGCTGACAGAGGAGCGGTGTTCCCTTTTGATCCCCAATCACCAAGCCGACCGGAGGCCGACTGCCTATGCTCGTCAGGCACTGTACGTGCTAGCCGGAGGACCAAGACGTCGTGTCGCCAAGACGCCATTAGCCGTTCGAGAGAGGCCAACAAAGACGGCGTCTTTCTGAAAGAGACCGCGACGGACAGCGCACGCAGATCGCCCCGCTAATTGGGCGAGCTGTGCAGTGGGCCCTTTGAAGTATGCGGCCAGGATCGTGGGAACGCTCGTCTAACGGCACACCCACGACGAGGACCAGCCCTGCTGGCGCCACCACCGTGCAGTGTTCACGTGGACCTTGTATGCTCGCCTCCCTCACCTGTGTGTGCGTGATTGGTGTTCGACTCTGAGAGGAGGAGCCCGACAGGGCATAAAACGGCGCGGAGAGTGCTGGACATTGCACTCTCTGAACCTGGCTCTGAACTATGTAGGGTTCAACCACCACGCTCGTGGTTTGTTAAACCACTATCCCTTCTTTTCTGTAAATAAGTGTAAATAATGTCATAAAACCCTGTTCTGTTTTTCGCATCCTCCAACGACCTGCTTCCTCCTTCGTCAACATCTTACACCGGGCTTTGGAATTGGGGGGTTTGGCCTAGATTCCAGTAAATACGGTAAATGTACAGTAAATGTACATGCTCTACGAGTAAGACATTCGCAAAATGATCCCTATGATGTCAGACTTACCGCCAACAATTCATCACTATTAATCAAACTAGCTGCACTAAATTAGGAACCTTTCATGCATTAGGAGACGTCATAAAATGCTGATTGTTCGTTCGTTTGATGTTTGATTCAACAAAAAAAGGTTTGCCGGATACTACTGTAAGGAATGGCGTGAGTGGTTCGAAAGTTCAATTTTCGCCTTGGTTGAACTAGACAGGCCGTTCCA